TAATTGATACTAATGTACAGTTTATTTCTTTTGCCTCTTTTCTTTTTGCACATTCATAGTGTCTTGCATCTTTGCATTACATTCATTTTGCATTAAAAAATTTCAAAAACAAAAAGAAAATTGAATCAATTGTCCCTAGGAATTACCTGAATAATTGATATATCTATCTATTTTTGCATTGTCTGTTTACATATTTGCATACGTTTATCCCCTATTTAGCATCAATCTGCATCATATAGGCACTATTTAGCTCTAGTTTAGCTTAGATTCGCATCTTAGAGTCTTAGGATAGACGTTGTACATATTTCTCTTCTTTTACCCCTTTTCAGGTGGTATTGGTGCTTAATTGGAGTTATCTGGCTTATCAGAGCCTTGAGGATTGGATGGAGTGCGAGGAGGGACTATGCAGAGGAGTTGCTAGGTATTGGAGTAGGCAGAAGAGCAGAGGAGCAGAGATTAGTCATGAGTCATCAGGGTTTTACCGATGATAAGCACCTGGAATGGCGGAAAGATGGAGTCTCAACAAACCTATTTGAAGTTTATAACTTGGGTTGAGAATCAGGAGGTCAATGCCCATAAACCAGTGCACAGATATCCCAGGTTATCCCCTTGTTGCGATAAATTATCAAGACTCTCCGACCATTGAACCAGGTGCATCAAACCGGCTAAAGAATAACTTAAAGAAACCGATATCCCATGATATCGGTACTAACCGAGGAAAAAGACCGATATATTGTGCCTATCGAGGGACTGATGTCGCGATACGAGAGCCGGAGAACACGCCGGATAGGCACCAGAAATCTGTCACTTACCTGATATGGGATGACGGATATCTTATGCATTTTATTGACTTTTCCGGGTCGACCGTTGACTGAGCTTTCGTCTCGGGTCGACCTGGGTACTGTTTTAAGAGGGTATAAATATGTTTTAACCCCGAAGAAAACCTAAGTCTGATTTTTCTTTCTTTTTTACGCTTTGAAACTTTTCTTTTACATTGTAGCTTGAATCGATCCTTAGAGCATTAATACTTTCCTGTTCTAAGTTTTTATCTTTATAAAGTTTCCATCTTTAGCTTAAAGTTTTAGTCTTTTGTGCTTGATTCGCACTAAATTAATTAAAGCTCGATTTGTTATTATTTGAGAAATTTGATCAACATAGTAAACTAAGATTAATTTCCCACACAAGCCTTAGATAATTGTATTTTATGTTACAACATCAGGCTTCACTCCTTTAAGGCTGAGGCTATAAAACAAACCCTTTGCATCTTCCACCTCACTAGCCTTCCACATCCCTTCAATCATAATATTATATGTGAAAATATCAAGATCCATTTCACTCTTTTGCAGATCTTGGAATATGACCAATGTTTTCTCTAGCTTCCCGTTTTTACAAAAACCATCTAACAAAATGTTGTATGTCATAAGATCACCAGGCACACCATCATAAACCATCTGTTTGAAAACTTTTTGGGCATTCTCACAATCTCCAGCTTGAAAAAACCCTTGGATTAGAGTGGTGTAAGTGATTGTATCCCCAACCAATCCTCTTTGAGACATCTCATGAAAGAGTTTCATGCCATCATTTACTCTCTTAGACTTGCAAAATCCGTTTATAAGATTATTTTATGTCACTACGTATGGGGGACAACTTTTGCTAACCATCAAATCAAACATATTCTTGGCCTCATCAAGGCGGTCAAGCATGCAAAATCCATTGATAAGTGAACTGTAAGTGAATGTACTAGGATCTATAGACCTTTTGATCATCTCCTCGTACAATTCTTTAGACTCCAAAAGCTTCCCCTCTTTTGCAAACGCATCTATCAATGCACTGAAAGTGACAGCATCAGGGTCAATTTTCTTCTCAATCATATCACTCAAAAGCCGAGAGGCATCACTCCATCTTCCGTAACTACAGAGGCATCTTATGAGGGAGCTGTAGGTAAGAACATTTGGTCTAATTCCTTTGGGTTCCATTTCATTGACTAGGTCAAGTGCATCATCCACATGTTTGTATTTGCAAAGACCATCAATTATTGTGCTGTAGATCACAACACCAGCTTCTATTTTCCCTTCCTCCATCTTTTTGAGCAGAGTTAAAGCTAAATCAATATCACCTCTCTTGCATATTCCATTTATTACCACACCATAAGTAACTAAACTCGGTTGACAGCCTTTCAGGACCATTCGATCAACTAGACCAACTGCTTCTGAAGCTTTGTTGTTGAGAAAATGTCCATGGATTAGTGTGTTGAATGTCACGGTATTAGGCTTATATCCCATTTCCACCATCTGATCAACCAAAGCTACAGCCTCTGAAATCCTATTCCCGTGACAGTATCCATTGAGAAGCGAAGAAAGCGTGACAATACTGGGCTCAAAGTCGAGTTTCATCATCTTCCCAAGAATAGCTAATGCACGAGAGAGTTGAGAACGGCGACAGAAACAGTTAATCAAAATACTGTAAGTATAGAGATTATGTGCAATTCCCATCATTTGCATCTGCTCGCCAAGTGATATCACAAGCTCATACTTGTTCATCTTTGCAATAGCACTCAACAATCTACTGAAATCAACAATGGAAGGCATAGGACGAGAGTTCAACATCTCACTGAACAAAGCAACTGCATCATCTAACTTAATATCATGAAGAAACCCATCTTTAATCTTCTCTCTGTAATCATAACTAGCACCAGAAAAAGCTCGTACCCACCAACGAAAACCGCAAATGGAAAACGAAGGAGAAGCAGCTCCAAGATTACCTTTCACCAGAAAACTCCGATGAGCAATTCTCTTCGCCGTAAACGCAATCGCAAACCTCATCTTCTCGAAATCTGCAACAAAAGGATTTGTCACAGTAAAAGTGTTAACTTTGGCTTGATACAGTAACAGATGGTTTCAGAGGACTCAGACTAATCTCCGTTCACCGGAAAAATACAAATTTTGTCCAGAAACTACAAAAACCAAACCATATATAAAAGTGTAGGAAGTAAAAATACAGAGAGTGTGCAAAAGGACGAACCTTTGGAGCTTCAATTCCCAGTCGAAGGAAATAGTCCGAGAGAGAAAAGTGTAGATGTCTCTTTTCGCCCAAATTTTTCGAGAAATCACCAAAGATTTTCTCGAGAATCTCAGTATGTAATCTGGGACAAGCTTCGATTCCCAGTCGGATCCAAATACTTGAGAATCAGAGCTACACAACTTCTCCTAAACCAGGCTTCAACTGGTTCAATATCAGTCTTTGATTTAAAACCGGTTATAATCAGATTTGAAATATCCGGTTATTTCATGCCTTGCATACGGATAGTTTTTTACAAGATAGGTTCTCTCTTCTTCCTTTGGCATTGAGAATGTAAAATCAGACCGAAGAGTGGTCAAAAACCGGTTAATTAGCGGTTTAAATTTATTGTTGAAAAATATTCCACTATGAATCAAATTCAAAATGAATCCACATTTTTGGTAAATTAATAGGACTAGATAATTTTTTGAGAATTTGCATATGATAGCAATACGTTATACGATAATGAGCTAAGTAACCATGCAACTGTTACATTTTTCGTAAACCGATTTTAACCCTACCAAAAAAGCTAAAGTGAATCTAATGTAGTGCTAGGATGTGTAATAATATGTTTGTCAGAACAAGATAAAAAAAAAGATCTTTTGAGATAAGCAATTAAAGAAGTAAAAGCAAAGACATCACTTTGTTTGTAGAGAGAGAAACTGTGGATTATCGACATCACTTCTAAGAAATCCAGAGACGATTGCGAATGAGGCTTCGGTGAACTCTTTGTGTGTTTTCACATAGTTCGTGTCTCAGATTCCCCTGTTGAAACAAAAAGTGAGCGTCTTTTTTCGATGTAATTTTTAAATTTTTTTTTCCCACAATTCTTTTGTTCATTTATACATCTTCAACCTTTTTTGCAGAGACAGATGTCTGTGACTGGCGGCAAAGAGGAGTTGGTAAGAACGGAGTCGAACTCATTTGATGGTCGTGCTGGTGTTACTGTTGGTAGTTCAACTTAATTGGTCCTCATTTGAGTCAGAAAGAGAAGTAGCACATAATCCAATGTCATCTCGGTTTGATAATATATAATATAGGTTAAAACTTGAGTTAGCCCATTAAACGTAAGTTAGAGGTAATAATTGTTTGTTTGGTGGTGTATTTGGGACGTTGGTCTAAATTTCATATTTGTATATATTTGTTAAGGAGTTAAGTGAGCTTATTGGGACTTAATCTTTAAGTTTGGAGAGTACTTATATCTAGCATCGAAAGTTCGTTAGACGTTTGTACTCAACAAAGTGGTTAGTAGCGTCATGAAAGTGGGATGATCTATATTCGTATTCTATGCTTAAGAGTTGAGCTTTAAAGTCAAAGGCCCTAGCTTTGTTATGATCTATTGATTCGTATCAATTGCTAATCAGATATTTGATGCTTTCCATTATCATTGCATTCGCCATTTAGTCTCTGTTTTGTTCATTTCCCGTATTGATACATTTAGTTTAGTTCTGATCAACTCAACCCAACTATTATTGATGCTTTAACTTAACTGAAATCCTCCATTGTCTAGTACTCTAAGTCCTTGTCTTCCTTTTGTTCGATTCCTATGCTTGTTACAATTGAATCATGAGTTAAGTTGTTAGCTTGATAGGTTTTATTTGAAATAACGAAAATCCTTCTTATCAATAAT